ACCTGCCCATCGATCGACTTCGCTGTTCTCAACAAGTCTGTGCAGCTAGTCTCTCTTGTCGGAGTAAATGTCTGACCTATAATCAAACCTCCAAAACGTCAGAGTTTTTTCGCGCATCCTATGATCGGACTTCGCTGCCAGAATTTTACAGTGCTATTTGCGCGTCTAACGTGCGCATTTTTAGGATCCAAATTTGCCTCAATTTCCAACCCCTCGTGTTTGCTTCTCTCCTTCTGTTTTTCGTCGTTTTGGCTACTGTAGTGACGTTATTATCTCCATGAGGATCGATGATTTACGTGCGCACATGGAATTAGTTGTAATCTTGCCACAAGCCTAGATTTTCCCCGTCCAACAACACCTCGCTCGACTCTTCAATGGAGGACACAAAAATAGAAGGTATATTGCCGTATGCTAACAGTATACTTTTCCAATGCAAGCAGAGCGTGTGCGAACACGCACAAGACCAGATTTAAATCTGACGAATCAGGTAGTGTCCTTAAGAGGGTAGCAGCTGGCCTGGCCTTATGACTAATTCGACTGGCAGGATAGAGCCGTAATCCTGGCGACTATTTGCGCGTCATCATCACGTGACCTGCGTGTGGGCGGATCGATAGCGTGGCGTGGGGGCGATTGGAAACCAGGGCGAGCGCGTTTCGAAACCAGAAATAAAAGATGCCAGAGGTGCAGGCTGTTGTAATAGGTAGCGTGCCTTTGGCGTGTGTAGCCCTGTACTTCGTAGGTCGTCTAATTTGGCAGGAGATTTCACACAGATCAGTAAAACCAGCCCTTGCCGCGGCCCATCTACTGACGGGCGCCGGCAGCATTTGGAATCATCCGGTCTTCATTGCACTTGCTTGTTCCAGGATCTACGCCCCTAACCTCCTCATGGAGACTCTCTACAACGGGGCCTTGCAGACGATTTGTCTATTTTTTGTCCGCCTAGCAAGCGTCCTGCTCTGTCTTGCCCTGTGGAACCACCTCTACACAACAGGGCACTCAAACGTCAACTCTTACGTTAAGTGCCGATATCGCAGCGCCTGGATCAATTTCCTCTATAACGCCAATACCCTCTTTGGTTTCTCCTACCTGATCACTTTGGAGTCTGGCCCGACTGCCTACGCATTTGTGGACTTTCAAGTTGCAGACAGGCTGATGCCATTTCTCATCATCTTCTGGCTGCTGTTGACTAGCCTCGGCGGCTTTGAGATCACAATGTTGGCTCTCACTGTCATCTGGCTTATCGAAATTTTGGGGCACGTTGCCGCCGCACTTAAGCTTCCGAAATTCCAACTTATGGAGCCAGCGGTGGATACTTTCAAGGTCAACGCCTGTCTCAGTAACCTTGGCCTGCCCTCATTTGTGATTATTTTCTTCCAAATGATGACAGTGTTGCCATTCTATCGGCTCTACAGAGCAGCCGGAACAAGAGCCAGAGGCAACTTTGCTATAGCCCTCAGCATCGTAATTTTTGCCTTTGATCAGTTTTGGGCCTTACTGGAGGCCAGT